CCTATGTGCATACTGATTCTGATTTGAGAGTGAGCCAGTCCAGTGAAGAAGTTTCAGAACTAAGAAATACTGTGGGTGGCGGGAGATGGGGATCACTCGAGAGCGGCTCTGTGTCCCTTCGCTTGACCAAACCCTAGGCTCAGAGAAGATTTTTTCTCTGCGAGGCTCTCACTTTGCAGCTCTGGTCGTCTGAGTTCTGAGCCCAAGCTTCGATTAGAGGAAGGAACACAGAGGATCGGCCATTTGTCCCCCTCCGGCTGCATTGGCGCGGTACATGGAGCCCAGCCCTATTTCTGGCTGAATAAGTTGTATATAAAAATTTGAGGGATGATCGCGTTTTTCTTCAGTGTTCGGCTACGAGTCAACGATAAGGAGGTGGGCGAGAAGCAGACGCTTGACGACGAATCGCCGATTGGCACTACAGCCAGTCAAATGTTCATCGGAGGTCTGTAACTTGATTTGAATAAGCAATTACAGTACCTTCGGAATAACTTTTCGTGGAAAAAAACTGGATAGGCTTGGCATTTCACAGTTTCCAAAAATAATCTTATAGGTTTTGCTGAGCGATCAAAGCCGCCGAATAACGAAATACCAATTACCGTACCGCTTATCGGATGCGTTTCCGACATTTACCACAACTACAAGTGAGTATGCATTATTTTATTACCGTTCCACTTCTTTATGATTTGGCGCGTGAACTGGCGTTTCAGACTTCGCGATGACGCCACGTTGCGCTACGACGGCGCTATCCTTGCGATAACGCCCTACTCCTACGGGTATCGATCGACTCCCGCTAGTGTTCTGGGAGAGTATAGAAGACCAGGGAGTACTAGCCTATGTGACCAGGCATGCGCTTGCGTCGTGGCGCGTCGGGCGAAGTCTGAGCGCTGCTTGATGCCGTTAGATGACATAAGCTGCATCCGGGCTAGTGAACACTTAACTGATTATTCCTGCGACATTTTTAATCCTTAATGAATACTAGATTTTTTAAGAAAGATTCCGATTGTGCCGGAAGAACACAGCGCTGAAATCGGAACGTGCGCCATCGAGTCGCCAAGCTTCGCTTCTCCTATCGGTTAGTTCAGCAGCTGTTTGGTTTTTTTTATGTCGCTTCCGCCTAACGTAATAAAAAAAAAAAAAAAAAAAAAAATCTCAAATATTTAATCTTCTCAAACGGCTCTTACAAACAGGCTTGTATCTATGAATAATTGAGTCGATTCATTATTCTTTCAGATGAAGATTATTAGATGCTCAACTAAGTTCGTGCCCCGAAACTTTCCAAACTTCGTCGATTTTATCGGTTTTTTATACATCTCACAGTGAAGGGTGGTGAGGGGGGATTGTGGAGTTGGGAGTCGCGGCGACTGAATGCCGCATCGAATCACAGATATGAACGCGCTGCTACAAGTGCGCGCTTCTCCGCTAATCGTTGGACCGGTGCAAAGTTTGGAGGAAGTTCTATCCGAAAGGCGATTGTGAGTTGCTACTGCATCGCGTTCAGTCGCAGTCGCACGATTCGGAGTGTAAACGCGATCCAGCGCATATGTCTCTACTTCTCTTTCGTCTGTACCCACGCAGTCGTCGCCGCTCCTGCAGCCACGCCCCTTGCTGCCGTCAGATATGCAGTCAGTATACACCCGTACAGTGCACGAACTTTTTGAGCATCTAGTACTTCGAACTGTTCTATTCGCATTTCGCTGCGTTTCTTGATTTATAGCTAGTACACATCGTCATAGATTTTTTTGCTAATCAATAATGCTGTCACAGATGAACCGTTGGATCCCGAAACCTATAAGCATCATCGGAAAGACTCACGTTTGAGTCATCAACTGGACAGAAACTTTTATGGTAGCTTCTTTGATTTGATTTCATAGCATGCACGATGTAATGCTGTCATGGGCACTGTAGCGTCTGTGATTTACCACCGTGAACTCGTCCTCTTTGCATGAGACTAACATTGGTCGTTATCGATTCTATCGATTTCTGTGATTGTTTCTGGTGTCTCGATCGATTTCTGTTTGCATAACACACTACTATTCGAACTGTCGACTTAGCACACCACGTGGCGTTGATTTCTTTTGAGGCAGTATTGTTAGGGTAAAAATTATTTTGGAATCTGAATTATCACTCTTTGCTTGGTCGCTACAATCTTATTTTTTGCAGATACTGGCGTTTGTCGGGAGAAGGAGGAATGGGAGGGGGGCTAGGTTTGGCGCATAAGTCCGTTCTCTAACAGTTGAAGCGGGCAAGCAACAATAGGTGGTGGAAAATGGGCTGGATACGCGCCAAATTCATTCTACCTGATATGCCCAGCGTCAGCAGCAAAAAAAACTGTGGTTAGATTCTGGACCACCAGAATCTCCTCACTGGAACTCATTCTTTCAAAAATCTTCATCTTTTTTTGACGGCGGTTCAAGTTTTTGAGGAGTCTTCTGAGCCCCTCTCCTTTCAACTAGTTAGCACTGGAAGTCCTCTAGAAGTGGGAAACCTCATGGTACTTCCTAGACGTGTTTCCACCCAAATCCACTTCCGGTTGCGAAAGAAATCAACGCCCTCTTCTATTTGTTTCATCACGCCCTGGACTTCTAATAATAGAAAATATCAAGTTGAGGAAGAAGTTTTGAACAATCAAATCTCGTTGAGTTCAATTTAAATCTACTGGATAGCCTTCTCCGAGCGCTACCCCAGCCTGGCAAGATCTGCTGCTCTTTGAAGTCGCCACTTTGTCCTTCTTGAAGATGTTCTTCTATCTTTCCTTTGAAACTCCTCGTCGCCGCTTACCTTGTACTTCAAGGTGTTGCTCTCTTGTCGGTTATTGCTGCCGCTTAGCACGCCCAAACCATCACGGTGGCTGCTCTCTAATAGGTGCTTGGCATGACAGCCCTGATCGCCCTATCTCCTTTGGTGTGCTAATTGGCTCTCCATGACCAAAAGGCACAGAAAATCTTCAAAGGTGCTCTCATTAAGGTCCCCTCTTCTGCAGTGGGTTTTTAGTGATCCAATAGTGCACGAAAACACCGAACGCGGGGAGTAGAGGCCAGATAGCAGAGGATCGGAGGCAGGCAACGAACTACTCCCCTTACGAAAGGTCGGCGTCTTTCGCCTTCTGACTGCTTGCAGCGCTAGATTATGGAGGTGTAGTGGGCCCAAATCACAAACTTTTGGTTTCCATGCCAACATTTTCGAGCCGCCAGAGGCGCAACAGCTCACGATACGGACCATACGTGCGTGGCAAATGCCTTCACATTGGTGATTCAGACGCGATTTCTCGCTTGCCACGCGTGCAAGTTCGATTTCGGGCTCATGCTCAACGCTCTATTTCAGCGCGAGGGGGCAATGCTCGATTAAACTTCTCCGCATCAGTTCTGGAATTCAAGAATCAAAAATTTCGATCGCAATTGCCGGTGAGCGAACCCAGGACCGGAGAGGGCAGGAAGAAGGGGCTAGCCTGTGACGTAGTTTTCTGACCCCACTCAACTGGTGGTCCCTAGTGGTGTCTTTCAGGAGCTGAAAAAATTGCTGGGCTTATAAGATATTTTGTGAATAATGAGAATGATGTCACTCATGCGTTCAGTTCTGTTCAGAACTTCTTCCTCATTCTCCTATACACACCAGAATGAAATTCATCTCTTTTCAGACACAGAGAAGCCTTTCAGCCCGGTTCATTCGAAGCCCGCTAAGGAAACAACGCAAATGGTGGGTGCCAGTGGATCCCTGCTGCCATTACAGTAGCTACCACTGAAGGCAGTCGGGGCGTGTCAGCAGGGCATGGGCATTAGCTGGGCGCCAGCCCGTTTCCCATCGATCGTTGTCACTCTTGGCGTTCAGTGAATCGTGAGAAGGGAGCTGGTGCCGCGCCTCAGCCCAGCCCAGACTGACCTCAGTGGTAGCGCCCGTATTTTCATTTCATAACCGTGGCCAAGTGAGGAATTACGAATGTTACTAGGAGATGATATTTTAGTGTGGTGGAGGACTCACTTCAGCCGTACGAGATGGCAAAGGAGCTGTTCGGTTTGGCCTCTCCAAAAGCTCCCACAGTCGTGTTAATTTCGAAGGGAAACTGTATCCAAACATTTCGGAGTAAGTGTTTCGTTGAAGAAGAGCTGGTTCATGAACTGTGCATTCTTGCTCTCTGAGACGCGCACCATAAGCGTAGTCCACGGATCAAATCCCGAGTCGGATCGCTCCAGGCTAACCAACTTCCATCCTCCGGGGACGGTAAATTGATACCAGCTTTATCGCGGGGGGAAGAGATTGATCAACGGCAAAAGCTTCATTCTTGTTTATCCTTGTGTCTCTTTTGAGTGGAAATTCACTCGAAAAATCGTCTCCTTTCCCACTTACCCTATTCAACGGGTGTGGGGAGGGGGAGGGGTACTATAAAGGAATGACGTTCCACATGATGTGTCTTTTATCGGGATCTCATTGTTGCTTCATGCATTTTTTTCATTTTGGCTTGTTTTCTAGGTAGCTTCTCTAGGAGGTCAAGGAATGATTATTGAAGATCAAAAGTCTGGTCCTTAGGCGGCGTTCATACTTTGCGACTGGAGCGATTCAGCTAATCTTTGCGGTTATTGAATCGTATTACTGCGACAAGCTAATCCACCGCTAATCGTTGTACCGCTGCAACATCAGCCGTATTCTGTGAACTCCCCTTGCCCATTACAGCGATCCAACGATTAGCGGTGGAGCGAGATTGGTTGCAGTCGCGCGATTAAATCGCTCGAGTCACGGAGTATGAACGCCGTCTTATCTATAGAACACCGTCGCAATCGTTAATGATCCAGTAACTTTTCAGCTTCCAAATCTCATTCTCGATGAGGACGCGAACAGGCCGACGTCGGAAATGATATCGGGTGTGGGCGAACTACAGAGAATTTTTCACGGTCGCCTTAAATTTTTACCTGAACCTTATCGATGGATATCCGACTATAGAGGTAGTGAATATCCATCATCGTTGCTTTTCGGAAATATTTCGTCCTGCTCAGGATAGGGAAAGCTGCCTACGGCCTTACATTTAGGTGAAAGGCAGACATCCTGAGGCGAAAATCTTGAAAAACGAGGATCGTCGATTGGATGACGGTCACTGGCACGATATAGTCATCATCAAGAAAGGACGTGAACTTTTCCTAATGGTGAACTTTACTTTTTTAATCTTGTTTTTTTCAGCCATGAAAGGCAGTTGGCATATGCATTGGGAGGGCGGTTAATGCCAGCGTCATTGGTGGAAGGACTGAGTGGGGTGTGGCCAAACACCCTCCTCCGCAGTCGCTTTTCAGCAGATGACGTTGGCAGAACTGCCCACCCCAGGCCAGATCGTCTTCGAATATTCATCATTTAGGTGATGAACTGTTCGGCCGGTTGTCTGAATAAATGATTGTCCACGGCCGTGAAGGTGATGCGGAAGGCGCATGTACGTTCGGAGGAGTCATCTCCAAGCAACAAGGTCGAATCTTCGCCGGCTTCAGACGCCCGAGCCCGGCGGCAGGCGACCCAAGGCCAGAGACGCCGCCGGCTTCAATTGGTTGTATTCGTGATCTGAATGGGGGGGGGTTTGAAATTAGTCTCAATAACCCCCTGTCCTAATAGCCTATCACCTCTGAAATCGATTTTTTTCAGGTGAACGGTGCGGTGCAAAACCTTGAAGGTGAATCTTCACGCGATGTCATTCCTTGTGCCCAACCAACGAAAGGAATGTACGCCCATGAGGGGAAGGATTATGCTGTGTTTGGTTTGTCTTCCTCACTGATTAACCGCACAAAACTTATAATGCTATACGGTTGTTCTTTCGGTACACCGCGACCATCTCAGACGTACAGTCTTGTTCGCTGAGTATGCTGGGGCGCCAAGGGGACATCTCTTGACCCTTCCCCGCGTGAAGCTTTCCAGCATCGCAGCGAACAAGAAAAGTGCCTCCAAAAGCACACAGCACCCTTTAGGGCCGTAGTACCATAGCTTGTGTGTAGGGTGGGGAGAGGGGGCAATATTGCGTCGCCTTCGGCTTTTAGTCCATTTCAAGCATGAAATCAAGCTTGCCGAACTTGGGTAACTTAACTAGCCTGTGGGGTGCGAGTTGACATCTCAAGCTTTTACGCTCCATATCCAGGAGGTGTGGTGGGCGTGGCTGCCTACTTCTTTTGACTATGGCGCAGAGTACGTTTCATATGAGATCTTTCCCTTCAAAACAATTGTGACCCTATCTTGTGGTATACATAGGCATAATCACAGTTGTTCCAAAGCGGCAATATTCCATCAAATGCGCAGTCGCCACCACGTTCAAATGAAGTGCGTAGTCACGCCCACCCCATCTCCCTGATATGGAGTGTAATACTTTCATAGGTAAAAGTGGATCTGACAGCTTTGAAGACGTCGTACCTTTTCCAGATGGTGTCCAGAAATCCATCAAAGATGGCTCTCGTAACATCGACATAACTCTGAGCTTCCGACCAATTGTGGATGAAGGAACCATACTCGCTCTGCTGAGCAACAGTAATCCAGAAGCAGCACGGCTAACCCTGGAATTGAAGCAGGATAAGGTATGTGAATAATGGAGGTTGATAGAAAAGCTTGTTGAGAAGAATCATCACCACAGGGTCAGCTCTGCAGAGTGCAGTTAGGCTTGGTGGGGGCATCGAATGCTACTTAGCTAAGCCTGGACAGGTCTTGTGAAGACCCGTAAACTCTCGTGACGAAAGCGGATCACTCGCACCATTCCGCAGCTTCACAGGAATTTACAGGTTTCAGCAAAGTGAGATATGCAAGAGTACAAAGTACCCCCCCCAAGCCAAACAGCGGTCTTTGCAGAATAGCATGCATCCGCGCGTGCACCGCATTACGCTTTTCGTGCTCTCAGCTCCTCCTGCAGGGAGAAGTCACGGGAATAAGGTATTTTGCTGAAGGGGCCACAGCGATGCGTCGACGTCTCTTTCCCTTCTTGAAGGCTAAGGAAGAGTGTAGACTGCCAGAGTCGTGCGACATTCTTGTGGGAAAGACATGGACGCACTACCGCCCCCCCCCGAACCACACTAACATCGGATTCCTAACTGTTACTTCACTCGAAAAACCCTCTTCCAGGTTCTGGTCACCGTGATCCATGCCGCCAGCGATCTCGAGATTCGTGATGCGATTCCAGCGCTACGACCGCTCTGCGACGGTGCATGGCATTCACTTCACTTATCGATCGGCGACAAGATAATGCAGATCAAAATCGATGAGGTAGGGCTCTCTTATGACTATGTAATGACGATCAATACTATTCGATTCCTCAGGAACGGAATGAGTTGCCGGTCAATCACATGTCGTCCGATGCTCGAGAATTGTTCCTAAATCTACCTGTGAATGTCGCTGGAGTGTCCGGTATCGATTTTTTTGCACGCTCCTGAGACTGCTCGTACGAATTTCCCCACGAGTTTCACATTTTCAGCTCCAGTAGCGGAAAAACTGTCGACGACATCATTGATGGGATGCTATCGCGAGCTGAGGTTTGCTGGTCATCCGAAGTACTTTGAAAATGCTCCGAAACAGAACAAAATTGCCGTGGATGGATGTCCGTTTCAATGAGTTCATCTCACGTCATTTTGCAGAATTATTAGCATCAGTACAGTATGTCTACCGTACGCCAAATTGAGCAGTTGTACGAGTCCTTCTACTGTACTACCAGTAATATTATTGTTCAGATATCTTTCTAGGTTATTTTTCGATCGTTCAGAATTGTTCGATAGTTTTGCCCATTTCTTTCCTTCCCCCTTGTTCTAGCTCGATAGTTTTCTCGGCGCAGTTCGGCAACGGCGGGGGGGGGGGTAGTTCATAAGCTACAAGAGTTGACAGGTTTTACACCCTGGTGGCCCGACGAGCTTGTTTCAGCTTCATAAGAGTTCACAGGTTTCACCAAATGACACTTGTAAACCGCAACTGGTGAAGCAGCGAAAGTGCCAAGTGCCCCCTCCCCCCCGTCGCCGAACTGCGCCGTTTCCTCTTTTCAATTTGTATGCAAATTTTATAGTTCTCCAGGAGATCATATAGATACTGCCATGGTCCTGTACAACAGTACTGCCTTATCAGATCTGTAATTGTCACGTTGTTATATAATACTTCTCGAGAGATGCTCCTTCACTCTTTCTCATGATGATTCACTTGCTTTCTGATGATTTGATGAGAGGTGTAAATAGAGCTTTCAAATTGACGAGACTTTTGTTCTTTTCGAATGATCCACAGCCCGTATCTAGGCGCAGCAAGGGGCGTTAAACCGCATTTGGCAGTACTGGAGGCATGCTCGAGTCCAGCCGAAGAAGTGGATGAACGTACAGCTAAAGTGATAAGGCAGCGGAATCTGCGCGAAAATGTCCTGATCAGTCCTGCAGGGACACACAGCCGCTTTCGCGATCACAGCCATCCGGAAACGCCCCTTTCTGCGCCCTGATATGAACAACAACGGCTCTCTGAGCACATGCTACGAACTCCCCTTCAATTTGGAAGGTACAACCTAAGTTTTTTGAATCAAGTGACATCTTCCGCCGACACCGACTGGTTAGAATCCCTTCCTTGTGGACGTGACTCGGTCCACAATTACAATGGCTGTAAAAAGTACAAGGGCCAAGAGCTGGTTGTATCATTCCGTAGCAGGACAGTGAATGGCGAAGATGCCGAGGTCGTCATTAGCCGAAGGGTACGTCGCCCACAAAACTTGCCCCACCCTATCTGGCCTGATTGTAGACGCCGCTGGTCCTGCGTGTGTAGACAGATGCGTTCGCTCTCTCGTGAGGGCCATGTTATTCTCCTCTCTCGTTTTCCTGTTATCTCATATTTTCCCTGCTCTTTCTTACCTGCAAACAGTGGCTACTTTTCCTTCGCCGATTTCATTTTTTCCACTTTTACGTGAATCAGCATTCGTGAAACCATATCTGAACTCCGTTACCCACAACTCACAGTCGCAGAGTGTGTTTTTTTCGAAGGGCATCTGTTGCATGCGTACTTCTAACCAAATAAACAACTTTCAAGTGATTCTCTCATCACTTGCTGGGAACCAGTGTAGGTGCTTTCATGGCCCATAAATCTGAGTCAGGGCACGTCCCACCTATCACGAAAATCATTGCAAAACACCATTTCCCGCTTCCCACCCTCACAATGTCCTCCTCTGATACAACTGGCTCCCACAACCACCCCATCTTCTCATCCTCCCTACTCTTATCTGTCACGTCTTACATTTTCCCGAACTCTCACCTTTTTTTCCGTTTTTTTTTTCGCGGAAACTCCATCTTTGTCTAAAAACGGAAGAACTGTCATCCGCTGGAACAGTCAGGCGCACATCCACTGATTTGGGGACTGTGGTCGGGTCCGTACCCCCCCCCCCCCTTCGACCCTTCCGGCCCTCTGTCCCTCCTCATCGAATCGAGCCGTCGAGCGGGGGGGGGGGGTATATAGTACGCATGAAACAGGAAAATCACGAAAAGTCAACCACCACTCCTAGAAGGCGAAAAGTAAATACGATAAATACGACTTCCCCCCCCCCCTTTATAACGTCCGTGAAGCGAAGCGAGAAAATCAACTATCAGAATAAATTTTTCTCAGCTCAAATACGACCCCCCCCCCCGTATTGGGGATTCCCAAACAGCGGTGTGCCCTGGGAACGGTAGGGGAGGGGGTGAGCTATGTAGAGCATGTGAAACAGGAAAAAGCCAGAAAAATCAACACCAGCAACACTTTTCTCTGAGGCAAATGCGACTAAATACGACCCCTCTCTCCAGCAAAGTACGACATGCCCTGTTCTGGAATTCAGAATAGGCGATTACTGTGTGGCAGGAAGCGCTGTAGTCACTCACACGATTTGATTGGATCACATCTAACTAAGCACACCAACTTCCCCGGAATGGCTGATCGGCGTTAAGGTTCAGATTTGAACTATCGATTGAACAGGAATCCACTTCGAAGATTCCTTCAACGCAGGATTCGGGGTTGAATTCTTCGATTATCCCCTTTGGACTCAGCTTGATAAAGTAGCCTGAAAATTGCTGACGCGATCACACATCAGCGTCACCGTTCATTCCACAAAGTTCCATGTACTCACCGGCACCACCCTTCCCCCATTTGCTTTCCTTGGCTGCCTAGCAATTCAATTCGTGTGGCGCAGACCCGCGGTAGGTTGTTGTTCCAAGGACTCCTGTCATTGTATGGTCGTTCAAGGTAAGTGGTTGGTGACAAGGCGTCCCTCAAATTACCTACAACCGTCTTATCCCGCCCACTTGTTCGTCCTCATTTTGGCACTTGTCTGTCGTCTTTCGTTTTCAATAACCCTGCCTTTAATATTTCTTAGGTATGATGGCAATTAAAAGCCTTTTATCTTGGGTCGGTAGGTTTCCTACAATACTTCATCTGGCCCCAAAAATAAGACATCAACTAGTCTTGGTGCCAGTGACCTTGAGGTCTAAATAGAATTATTGTACTTCAAATTGGCTCACCCTCCATGGTCATTAGCCCCTTAATCTCTTTTCTCACGCTTGTACCCATCCTGTCCCATGTACGGGCTAGCCGAAATCTATTGGAGGGTTAAAGCAGTGATGGATTGCAGATCAAAAATCTGCACAGTTGCGATCTTTGATTCCTGGGATAGAGGTGGCTCCTTTCAAACATGTTCACCACAATGTTTGCCCTTTTTGAACGAGTTCTGCGCTTTTTTTCTCTCAAAGAACTCGTACCTGGTTCCTTCTTTCCACTGAAGATTGACATCGTATCGTGCGAAGGAGCATGGGTTTGTTGACTATTGTGTGCAGACGGCAATTTCCATTGTTCTACTGCACACTTGACCCGTCACTCAACTACTCCCTCTTCGAGCCATGTCACACCCTGCCACCGGTGCCCTACTGCGCGCTTTGCCCATCGCCACTGCTCGGACGATTATCAGAGCTTTAGGACTAGGCGATTTTACGACGAATTTCAATTGATCTACAGTCGATGCGCTGTGTGGGAGCATTCCTGCGTGTGTACGTCCTGGCGTAGTGCCAAGTCGTTTCCACAGTCTGGGGCAGTCGCTGATGGAAGTGAGCTGGCGCCCTGAAGCGCATGTACGGTGGGGCGCCTCCACGCGACGGTCGGATAAGCTCTGTATGCAGAAGTTGCCGGAATGCTCGTAGCGTAGAAGTCTGCTACTGGCTGGTATCATATGAAGACAAATCAGTTCAACTGGTATTAAGTGGGGGGAAGGGGGGGGAGGGGGGTACAACTAACTAGTAGAGAAGGCATTTTGAGCCTCGTCTTGCGCTGATTGTAAGAAGATGCAGGAAGTGTCAAAACTAGCTGTTTCATATGCTCGTAACGGTGAAAAAGTCATCAGAGCACGAGTTTTTTGAGTAGCTCTGAATTTAGCATGCTAATTCCCTGCCAATCTAATTGTAAGAGTTAGAATTAGCTTAGTTCCAGCTACTGGAGAAACGCTTGGCGGACCTGAACCTCTCTTCTTCCTCCACCGACCAAACATGACCCCAACTAGGGATTTCCTAACGTACGACGTGCCCTGATTCAAATGCATCTGGTGGATTCCTAGTCCTCGTGGCACGAGGTTGCCAGCGACCGACTGTGACCGACTGCTACCAGTTTCGCTCCTTGTTGCTTTGGAGCAGGTTATCCTTGGGTCATTAGAAAGGCCATAAGGCGCAGTTCGGACTGGTAGGGGCATTTTGGTGGTTCCCACCAATCACTGCCGTTGCCTCTTTGTGCAGACCTGGAAATCCCTGTAAGCCTGCGATTTCGCTTACCTTCGAGAGGAGTCTACAGCTCATCAAGGTAAGACGTGTAATTCAAATGGAACTAGCAAAAGAAGCTAGCGTAAGGGCAGAATACCCCTTCCAAGCCGAACACAGCCAAAATTTCAAGTCTCCACAATACCTTCCCGGCTCTCGATGTTTTCGAAAACACCTGTTGAAGCGACGGGTTACGCTCAGCCGCTGTGAAAATTCACCTGAATAATGCTCGTGTTTTGGGTAAACAAAAGCAGGGAGGCTCGAATCGGGGATGTCCCTCGCGCTATCTAGGCCGAATCGCGGCCTTAATTGTTTTGAGGACGTGTCTCATAGTGCTAACTCAATTGTGTTGAGTCGTCTGTTCAATTGCTTGTCCCCCATTTGCATTCCCATCCATAATCACTCTGATTGCTCCGCCCTCAGTTACCACATTACCTGCTAAGCCTACTGGGGGCGCCAGCATGCTGTCCTGAAACCTTGCTGGGCAGGATCTTGCCTCGAGTTTTCTGCTGGGAACTCCCTATTAGGTGTCAGATCCTTTTTCTGGGATGGAATTCTGAGGAATTTCTGAAAAATCCCTGCAACTGCTTCCCGAATGGGAGTGCGGGGGGGGGGGGGTAAACCTTTCATAAGCTAAAACCTTTTCTCAAGAGCTATAGTAAGGTATGACGCCCGCAGTCATCGCTCGTATTCGCTCAGTTCCTGAAGCGATTATAGCATACTTGATTGTCAGAACTAGGCTAAATGACTCGTTTCCGGAGACGTCAACAACGTGCTCAGGACAAATCTGGCTTTTCCCCGCAACTAGCGTAATCTCCTCATCCATCA